AGTGAAAAATGGTACACATCAATTTAAGGGACTATTCATTGTTATCCAAGCTGCGCTATCTATAACATCAATATCTATAACAAACTTCAAAGCTAATCGAAGCAAAAATCCCTTTAACCGGGTTTTACCAAAAATACCTTTAACCGCAATTTTCTTGACTAGCGTGCTTCCCCTCAAACATAAACAATCTGATAAAAAAGAGGACTTTATCAAGACTGCAATTACGGCATACGAACTCTCACCTTGATTTAAATTAACACTTTAATCTACAATTTTATTAATTGAAATATGCACCATTGCAATCAGCACATTTTAGCCAACAAGGAACATGCTTTTTCATTCTAGTACCAATAAATTCTGGAGCATTCGAAGCGACGAAATAGTTGAAGGCAGTTTTGATGGCATCTGCATTGATGAGGGATCTTTCTTTTGCAGTTGTCCAAATCTTTGATAAAGTGGAACTCTGTTGGCGACAGGTCAAAATAGGAAAAATTTTGACAATTTATGCCTACTGTACGAAATGGCTTTACCATGGGGAAGGGTATCATTTCTGCAATCAGCGTGTTAACCATAACAAGAGAAGGCCACTTAGGCAAATCTGTGAATTTAACCCTATTTCCTATACTATTGTAATCCTACAGCAAGGTCGAACCGGGGGGAGTGGATATATTTGTAATCTGCGTACTCTCACCCCATTGGAGGCGTTGCAGAGGTTTTCGAGCTTCTCGCATTTAAAAAAAAATTAACTGGCGTTTGGGCTTATTTTTAATACCCGAAAATTTAAGAAATAATGCTACAATAAACAACAATTATAAGGAGGTAGTGCGATCATATTTTAAAGTGATACATAGCTTTACAACAAATAAGCAATGAGTACGTAAAAAAAATAAAACAGTCATTTATTTCTTCACAACCTAATATAACGAACTCTCTTGCACTTCCGACAATACCTCAGGAATGGAAAAACTCTGACCGAACGTTTTGATATAGAAATCTATTAGGTTTCATGCTCTTCCTATTTACCATATCGAATTACGAAAACCATAGGATTATTTATAACATAATTTTATACAAAAAATCGCTATTATGTGAAGACAACAACTATGCCCAGTTTTCAAAATTCTTTTATTCATTAAAATCAAGACAATTGAGGGTTCACGAATGTAGGAAAATGATATCCTATCAATATAATAATGCTTGATTGAGTCTCAAAACTTGAAAATATGCGGGAATTTTGTTCTTGGTAGCATCTTGTTGCTCACAAAGACTGCAAGAAGATTGAGTATCTTTCCGTAGTAATTTTCAGAGGTAGATATCACATCTTGAAGTAAGACGTATTGAAGGAAAATGCTTAGTTGTCTTTTAGAGGGGGGCAAAATTTGAGATTCAATCCAAATACGATTCATAAATTTTAACCGGATAACGGAAAGTTTTATCATCAATAGGAACATGCGCTAATGTACTTACTGGTTCATCGAATTGAGAGATGATTTAGATGTCGAAATTGAAAAAAACTCCAACAAGATTCGTCTACTTTATCGTACTTACTGTGCTGCACCTCCACAATCCCTTGAGCGTCCTTAGTAGGTTTGGCTAATCATGGAGGTGCTCAGCAAATCACAGGCGCTTCCTAATCGCTTAGGTCACGCTAAACTTGAAATGGCAGCCGTCTTCCTATTGTCCCACGTGGTAGTATTTTTGGGCTGTGGGGTATATTAGATGTAGAGGCATATTAGAGGATCAAATCACGGTTTTTTGGCACATTATCCAATTCTTAATGAAAACGCTACTTTCCCCATAAATTGAGTTTTGAATTAAAAAGTAACACCCATCTAGCATGTTTTTTACGTGCATAGTCATTCCACAGCTCAGTAGTAGAATGAAGCATCATTTAACAAGACTATACGTCCATGAGCAATCGACACCTCGCAATGCATCCCATTACATTTTGGTACATTTCATCTTAGGTCCAATTCCCTCTTAACTCATCCCAAGCTTTTCGGCATTTTCAGAGCCTTTCCAAACCCACTTACAAACAAAATCTGAACCTTATCTAATAGAAATGTATCACAGCAACAATACAATGTGTCGATTATTTGTGGACACAGATCGTATCTCGAATCGTAGTAGCGTAGGATGAGCGTAATAAATTGCAAATATGCTTAGTTACCAAGTTTTATGTGGCGTTTGTAGACATAATAAGAGTAAACTTCCACAAAGTATTCTCACAATTACAGTCAAAGTGAATCTAACTTTGTAATTTTTTCAAAGAAGGTTAAACTGTGTTTCCTCCCTGATCAAGATTTAACAATGAATCTGTCACTTCAGGCTTCCATAAAAGGTGTTCATTTCGTGTTTACAATCAGCAAGCCCAAATAGAATCTTTATTGAATCCCAATGCAGTGAAGGGATATGCTGCTAACAGTAGGCAACATAGTTTTTTCTTGCATCGCGGCCTTTTAAACTGTAAACAATACATTGGAGATGTTCAAATACGCAGTTTGAAAGAAATCATAGAAAAGACGTACCCATACGATACTGCAGAACGGTCTTTACTGGCCAAATTCTGCTATACGTTATGACTGGTACAATGTTGGAGTCAGATGTGAAGACCCTGCCCGCATATGCAGGAGAGCAGTACCTGCACACACATAAATGATATATGCGAATTATTGCCATTTTTAGCGTAGATACCTGTATCCAGTTAAACGCTGGTCTTTTTGTGCTTTTATCTCAACTCCATCATAATAGCATCCATCAGTAGCGACTCCATCCGTGCTAACAAATTTCACTTCAATCCTTCTTCCTTGCGGTGCCTTTAATTAATCATCCTCGGAGCAAATCATGAAGTGTAACCGCGATGAATAAACCTGTATCCAGTAATTGCATTTGAGGAATTCGTCTTTAGCGTCTCTAGTGTTTTGTATATGATCATATCCCACAGAGTCTTCAAGTGGTTGGAATGTAGAAGTGGCTTGTAGAATCTTACCGCATCCTTGTGGCTAAGACATATCTTATTCATGAATTATTGACAATCTACGACAACACTAAATCATCACCCTTTCGTTGCATAATTTGCCGCCATACCCGCCTGGGCAGATACATTTTGAGCAATCGCGAGGATGTGGGAAGCCACCCATGTAGCATTTTGCCGCGGAGGGGTTGGATTTGCACTTGTCTAAAGCAGGATCTCTCATATCTTACAAATGCACATGTGTCGAATCCTATATGTGACTAAATTCACCGAGGCAATTGTAGTGTATGTTCATCATAAGTAGTTCGTAGAAGGAGATGAATGGTGAGCCAAGTGTGTCAACATATCTGTCATCATATGGAATCATTGTACGTTGTTTATTATATGAGAAACTGAAAAAGACGAATTTTCATCCCTATATTACCGCGGTACAACTGCAAACCTCCTAGATCCGTAATGCATAATACTGCCATAATCGTAAGGAATACCATAATTCTCATTTCTATTTGGAGGCTCTTTATCGAATTGGTCGAGTCCATCAGGCTAAATTCGAGTTTGCTGGTGTTGCTGCGAAGAAGAATGAGAAAGCGGATGGAACAAAGCTACCTTGATGCTGTTTATGTCAAGCATAATGTACTGGTCACGATCATGTCTCGATTGCGTGTGGAACATCCCGATAGCATGGCCAATTTCGTGCGCGGCTATGCCAACCTGCATGCAAAGATCTAATTTCAGTTTAAACATCAACAGGAACTTATTTGGATTGGACTTTACTTTTAGTCCTCAAAAAGAAATTTTTCAAGCCATAAAATGCTCACCGTTTCACAACCTCTGCCAAGAGACAGTGGTTGCACTCTGTGTACGTTTCCTACATATGACCAGCAGCCGTCCTCAATCATTAACTCAATGCGTTCCCTTGCTAAAAACATGTTTTTCAACCAGTTTTAATGTATATTTCGATGTGCCCTCACCGTTAGGACTTTCATAAAAGTTAATGCAAGTATCTTTCTGCCATTCAAGAGCGCCTTTTTTGAACAGTTCCTCTATTCTGCGACCTGAATGCAATCATTTTCCGCACTCTTTTCTCACTACCTAGCGGACACATACTTGCGTTGTAATGGAAGGAAAAGTAAACGCCTTCGGGCCAAGTTGTTTTAGGATAATTAACATCCCTAAAAGCTTGACGTATTTTTCGCGAGGCCCCATTTTCGTCCTGGACAATCTGTTCCGCTTGCTGCCTGCAATACGTATTTATGGCTTTTCATTTATAGTCTCCGAAATAACCTGCTTACTCTGTTAAAACAATGTCACCCTGGTACAACACGTCAGCCACTCCTACGTTCTCATTGACATCCTCTACAGTAGTACCATTTTCAACAGTGAATGAGACCAATTTCTCAAATATTCACGTTTTTAAATTTTGATTGCAAATTTACAAATAAACCAGCAAGGGTACGCTGACGCACCTGCTTTATCATTTTCAACTTAGCTTCGGTCGCTTTATAAACGTTCTTAATTTTTGTCTGGATCTTTTCCCTTACATTGCGTAGTTTATCACGAACCGCATCAAGACCCGGTATTTTCTAAAATATGGTTGCAGCACGATATCTCCTTTGGCGAGGCATTTTTTGTGCTCTGTATCACTTACCTGCTTGAGTTTATCCCAAGCGCCTTTCACCTTACTCTTCAAATTATCCCACCAATTTGCGCTGACGCATGCAGTAAGGAGAAGGAGTAAGAGGAGAACCTTCATACTAAAAAGCAGAAGGAAGAGGGATGGCTTGACAGTTCCACAATGTCACTTTTATACACGTTATTACACTATTGAAAATATGTAGAGATTTGCTTTTGTTAAGGACGTAACTGAATTCTAAGTAAAATAAATAATCTCGATTATCCTAGTCAAACAGAATGCTTGAATCAGCTTTTGCACTTTTTCGTCGTTCTAATACTGTGTCTTGAAGTGCTTCGGTTTGTTTACATTTTTTCATCAAATTATCTGTTGTCAATTTCGCTGTTCATAGAG